AACACAGAGTAAAGTGTAGTCGCTTGAACGTACATAGAAATACGAGTCCCAGGCTAAGCAGTACAAGGGCTGCACAACTGTCATATTAGCTGACAAAAAGGTAACTTTATACGAAGAAAAGATGACCAAAGAGCTACAAATTCCCTCCACCCGAGTCTAAAAATGTAACGATCCTGTATGCTTCTTACCTGTACTTGACCGGTAGAGGAGCGATCGGAGTCACTTGTAGCAGTAGCTTGACTAGCTGTAGCTCTGAGCTGTGAAAGAGAGAGAGAGAGAGAGAGAAAGAGGGGGGGGGGGAGAGAGAGAGAGAAAGAGAAAGACAGGGAGAGAGAGAGAGTGAGAAAGAGAGAGAAAGAGGGGAGGGAGGGAGGGAGGGAGGGAGGGAGGGAGGAGGGAGGGAGGGAGGAGGGGAGGGAGGGAGGGAGGGGAGGAGGGAGGGAGGGAGGGGGGAGGGAGGGAGGGAGGGGGGGAGGGAGGGAGGGAGGGGGGAGGGAGAGGGAGGGAGGGAGAGAGGGAGAGAGAGAGAGAGAGGAAAGAGGGTAAACAAGTAAAAAAAGGTTCATACACTGTTGTTCTTCACAGCAGAACCAGGGATGAGTTTAATGATGCAGGAGATCCTTTCATCAACAAACAATGTGGATAGTGAAATGTGACAGTCAAGATGTGCAAATAAACACTCATGGATAAAATTACAATGCATACTTTTTGATCCAGTGCAGACACTCCACCGGTCACTTCACGCAACTGCCGCTCTATGCTGTTGGTGCGATTGTCGATAGTCGTCACTCTCTGCTCCATTCTTGTGATGCGATCATGCATTGCTTCAGCTCTCCGTTCCATGCTTGAACTGCGATTGTCGATAGTCGTAACTATTTGCTCCATGTCCGAACTGCGACTGTCGATAGCCGTAACTATTTGCTCCATGTCCGAACTGCGATTGTCGATAGCTGCAACTCTTTGCTCCATGTCCGAACTGCGATTGTCGATAGCCGTAACTATTTGCTCCATGTCCGAACTGCGATTGTCGATAGCTGCAACTCTTTGCTCCATGTCCGAACTGCGATTGTCGATAGCCGTAACTATTTGCTCCATGTCCGAACTGCGATTGTCGATAGCTGCAACTCTTTGCTCCATGTCCGAACTGCGATTGTCGATAGCTGCAACTCTTTGTTCCATCCGGCTGCTCCGATCATTGATTGTGCGAACTCGCTGGTTGGTATCAGCAAATCTCTGATTCAGAGACTGTACCTGTGAACAGTTCAAACCACAGCAGAATGTACAACACATACATTACTAAAAACTTGGGTGTTGAGCCGATAATATATAAAAGAAAAAGGACCAAGGAACTACAAGTTACGCTATAATGTCCACTGACACCACCAGTTACTAAACAATCAGCTCATGCGATAACATTGCACGACACTGACCGACGGTACTGACGTTCTACAGCTCGTGCTTGTCTTTGTTGCGCTCACTTTCCCCTCTTATGTTATCATAATTATAACTTAGAACCTTCCACATTGGAAGGCTGTTGGAGTGCGCATCCAAGATGTGCTGGAGCTGTTAGCCAGTTAGTTGTAGAACGTCAGTACCGTCGGTCAGTGTCGTGCAATGTTATCGCATGAGCTGATTGTTTAATAACTGGTGGTGTTAGTGGACATTATAGCGTAATTTGTAGTTCCTTGGTCCTTTTTCTTTTCTACAAATTTATCCTTGGCTCTCCATCCGAGTCCAATAGTAATATGTAAAGAAAAAAGGACCTACATTGTATAAGTTACTAGTGTTGAGGCACGAAAAGATCATCATCCCTGACACAAAGGAGTAACTTTGGACAGGTACTAGTACAGTCCACTCCTGATATAACGAACACCATTGTGCAGGAGAATTAGTTCTTTATAGCAGAAGTTCTTTATAACAGAAATGCACTCACACTATACAAGCAGCAAAATCATGACTGCCCTGCGCCCCATGACAGTATGCAATGGTTTGCTATATCACGAAATTCGCTATATGCGAGTTCGTTATAAGTGGAGTCGACAGTAGTGGGAAGACATTTATTATAGACGGAGAGACAGAGAGTAAGACGAACTAAACGACTACATCATGAAAGAGAGAGAGAGTTTTTAAAAACGAGTGCAAGACAAAGGGCCTGCGTAGCTATGGCAAACATGGGCAAGCAAGTAGCTACCCAGGCCAATGGAACAAAGGTGAGTACGAGGGTAAGTATGGGGTGCATGCACATGCGTAACACATTATTGAATGTTTATTTAATCAATGTTCAGCATGGTTACTCTTCAGTCACGACTTTCCACTGATGAATGTGACAAGAAAATCTATTTTGGTAAACTTTCATGACTTCGTTGTAGTGTGGCGATGACAGCAGAATTTGTTCTCTTTATTGCTATTATAAAATTGTTGTCTCCGCGTCGATTATTTTCTTACTTGTATCCTTGTTTTTGTCACTCCAAGTGTATAAATCCTATTGCTATTTTGATATTGTCTTCAGTCACGAGTTTCCATTGATAATTGTGACGGGAAAACGTTCTGGAACTATTTATTCGTTGCTAGGATTGTGATATGAGTGCGCCTGTAGTTTTATTCATTGCATCAGTAACTTATACTTGAGTTGTAGATTATTATCTGCTTACATACATCACTGTATAAGCACTATTGTATTCAATCAGCAGCACCACAAGCAGCAGCCCCACAAGCAGCAGCACCACAAGCAGCAGTGAAGTAGTCTTCTCCCCCTGGCCCCCGCCACACAACAACACAAACTATTGGTCATATCTTCAGTACTTATATTCTATCAACAAATGGTGAGGGCGCAGGAGGAGAGACAAACTTTGTGAAGGGACAAAACGACGACGGGAAAGACTCCCGGGAAAAGACTCAAAGAAAACAACAAGAACAAGCAGTAATATTGCGACGACAAATCGGGACGACCAATCAGGGACTAATATGCACAGAACACATGACTAAGACCAAGACAACCAGACCACGGACGAATCATGCATGACTCTCATTCCCAGACCAAACTAGCACTGCGCATGTACAGCATTCACTTGACAGGCACTCTCACACAGACGGAAGCACATCCTTACACTCTGACAACGCGTACTCTTGCATGCACCACATACCATATACGGCACACATCACACCATACTCGCACGTACACCTAGACCATATATGACATCAGACACTGGACTCCACAAGACAAGAACCAAAATGACATGCGTAAATCATAGTCGTAATACAAATTCGCAACAGCAGCACCACAAGCAGCAGCACACACGAGCAGTAGCACCACAAGCAGCAGCACCACAAGCAGCAGCACCACAAGCAGCAGCACCACAAGCAGCAGCACCACAAGCAGCAGCACCACAAGCAGCAGCACCATAAGCAGCAGCACCACAAGCAGCAGCACCACACGCAGCAGCACCACACGCAGCAGCACCACACGCAGCAGCACCACACGCAGCAGCACCACAAGCAGCAGCACCACAAGCAGCAGCACCACAAGCAGCAGCACCACAAGCAGCAGCACCACAAGCAGCAGCACCACAAGCAGCAGCACCACACGCAGCAGCACCACACGCAGCAGCACCACACGCAGCAGCACCACAAGCAGCAGCACCATAAGCAGCAGCACCACAAGCAGCAGCAATGACAAAACCAGTAGACATGTTCTTACAGTGAACTCGGTACAGAGAGGATTGGAGATGGGAGTCAAAGACTTTTATTTTAGTGCAGTGCACTCAGGACTGTTTACAATGTCAGGCTCTTAGTGTAACTAGCTGCTAACATACGTGCAGTGTTTCAAGATGGGGCGCAGTGCACGTACAAATCCTGCATGCCAAACAAGGTGTTTTTTGCCGCTTGGAGAAGAGGCAAGTGACTGCCAGGTCATTAGTTCCCAATAGACTGTGGGTCGCAGCACGGTCAGAAACATCCTTCTGCTTCCAAGTAGGACTTGAACGTGGCATCCTCTGTTTCTCAGTCATCGTCTTAGACCACGCCACTATGTCTGCATTCATTGATTACATTATAGTTAATCAAGACAAGCAAAGCAGGTGGTGTTGTGCCTGCAACAGACTGCAGTTGTGCAGCAGGAGACCTGTTAGAATCCTGATTTAATCAGAATGAAAATAAAAAGAAAGACAAAAAACATAGAAACTTGAAGGCTCTTTACCTGTTGGCTGATGGAAGCTACATGGTCATTGCAAGATGCCACACTCTCCCTGACCTCTTGTTGACTTTGAGCCTGTTCTTCTTGCCTAGCTGCTAGTTCAGCTATCGCTGTCTGCTGTTGTTGAACATGCTGCAGTAGTGTACTCATTTGAGACATGACTGTAGCCATGGAAACGGGATCGCGCTGAGGATGAACAAGACATGGGAGCACACAGAAGAGTAAAACAAAGCGCATCATCCAGGAATTAGGAAAGAGGAATGCACCGTGCAATGCAGGGCAGAACTTCGCATTTTTCATCCTGAAGAACAGTCGCATAACCCGAATCGTGCATTGGTGTCTGGACCCAACCTAACCCAGTGTCTGCGCCAGAGCCGGGTCAGCCACCCTGTTGGGGGGGGGGGGGGGGGTACTTGGATCGGTTGGGGGTACTTTAATTTTTTTTATACTGAATTACATAGTCTAGCAGACAACGGCATGGGAAGACAGAACCAAAGAGGAGACCTGACAATACAGCGGGAAGCCGGAGCAGCGTGCTGGTGGCCTACCTCCCCCGACCATGGGTCTCGAGATCAGCGGCAGGACCAAGCACCAAATCAGCGGCAGGACCAAGCACCAAATACCAAAAAAATTAAGTAGAGCAGAAAAAGGAAGTGAGCAAGTATCACAGTGTGATGTAAGGAAACAGAAATTAGTGAGATAGCGAGTTGCTTGGTGTTACAGGTGCGGTACAGAGACTCGGAGAGAGAGAGAGAGAGAGAGAGAGAGAGAGAGAGAGAGAGAGAGAGAGAGAGAGAGAGAGAGAGAGAGAGAGAGAGAGAGAGAGAGAGAGAGAGAGAGAGAGAGAGAGAGAGAGAGAGAGAGAGAGAGAGAGAGAGAGAGAGAGAGAGAGAGAGAGAGAGAGAGAGAGAGAGAGAGAGAGAGAGAGAGAGAGAGAGAGAGAGAGAGAGAGAGAGAGAGAGAGAGAGAGAGAGAGAGAGAGAGAGAGAGAGAGAGAGAGAGAGAGAGAGAGAGAGAGAGAGAGAGAGAGAGAGAGAGAGAGAGAGAGAGAGAGAGAGAGAGAGAGAGAGAGAGAGAGAGAGAGAGAGAGAGAGAGAGAGGGAGAGAGAGAGAGAGAAAGAGAGTGAGTGAGAGAGAGAGAGAGAGAGAGAGAGAGATCGAGTGGTGGTGTCAGATTGTATAGCAGTGGCGGTCCATTGATGCTCAGCAGCTTATACATGTACATGTATGACATGGCATAGACCATCCTCTTGGCGGCGAGGCCTCGCAGAAGGACATTCGGGCCAAGCATGTGGAGTGCTCGGCGCTGAACCCGATCGAGTTGGGCCAGATGGGTTGGGGCAGCACCCATCCAAACAGTGGGCGCATACTCCATGATGGGCCGCACAAATCCTCGGTAAGTGGCCAACCTGCCTTGGGTGTCCAGGTACCTGGAAGCGTGCTTCATGAAACCGAGTCGAGAGGCAGTTCGGAGGGAACCATTCCATAGGTGGGTTCAGAATGCTGTCTTGGAGTCAAAAGTGACGCCTAGTAGCTTCACCTCTTGGTCTGGTTCCAGCAGGTGGCCACCAAATGATTCTGGGGGGACTGGCCATGGTTCAGTTCGTCTGGTGAAGTGGATTAGCTGAGACTTAGTGGGCTCGAACCGCACCTTCCTGGTTCCCCACTCATGCAGCCGGTCCAGAGAGAGAGAGCTGGAAGTCTGCCATTAAGAGCTGGAAGTCTGCCATTAAGAGCTGGAAGTCTGCCATTGAGAGCTGGAAGTCTGCCATTAAGAGCTGGAGGTCTGCCATTGAGAGCTGGAAGTCTGAACTGAACTGGCCATGGTTCAGTTCGTCTGGTGAAGTGGATTAGCTGAGACTTAGTGGGCTCGAACCGCACCTTCCTGGTTCCCCACTCATGCAGCCGGTCCAGAGAGAGAGAGCTGGAAGTCTGCCATTAAGAGCTGGAAGTCTGCCATTAAGAGCTGGAAGTCTGCCACTGAGAGCTGGAAGTCTGCCATTAAGAGCTGGAAGTCTGCCATTGAGAGCTGGAAGTCTGCCATTGAGAGCTGGAAGTCTGCCATTGAGAGCTGGAAGTCTGCCATTGAGAGCTGGAAGTCTGCCATTGAGAGCTGGAAGGCTTCGCACGAGCTAAGCACACTGTACAGGGTTGTGTCATCCGCAAAACCTCCCATCGCTGTTGCACCAGAGAGGCAAAGTTCAGTGTCGTTCACATATACCAGGAATAAGGTGGGCCCGAGAATGCTGCCTTGGGGTACTCCAGTGTTGACAGCGTACTGCACGGATTGCTGGCCGTTGAGCACCACGCTCAGAGAGCGGTTGTGCAGATAGTTCTGAAGCCATGTGTGTAGCTGACCAGCGACACCAAGGGCGGCTGCTTTGTGGAGTACTCCGGCATGCGACACCTTATCAAAGGCGCCGGCGATGTCGACTGCAATCGTGTGGGCACAGCCACCGGTTCCAACAACTGTGGCCCACTCATGGTGAAGGGCAGTCATCAGGTCAGCGGTACCGAGGCCTCGATGGAATTCAACCTGTCGGACGGAGAAGAGTTTGTAGCGTTCAAGGAAGTTGACTAGCTGTGTGTTAATAACACTTTCCATTATCTTCAAGCTAACCAACAGGAGTGACACTGGGAGGTAATTGGCGGCCTTGGAGCGGGTAGACTTCTAATAGATGGATACAACATTGGCTCCTTTCCATTGAGAAGGCTGGACTCCCATATTGAAGCTGAGAGAGAAGAGCGTTGTAAGGGGAGGAGCAAGTTCAGCAGCGCATTCTTTCAGGACCCTGGTTGGTATAGCGTCGGACCCAGTGGCTTTGACAATGTCCAACTTTGCCAAAAGTCGCTGAACAGTAGCTGTGCGGAAATATACACGGGTGAATCTTGGGCCACGGTGGGGTGGCAGGGGAGGAAGACTGGAAGCATTGAGGTAATCCATGCCGAGACTGCATTTGTTGGCAAAGTACTCGGTGAGGCAGTTAGCTTTGGCACAGTTTGTTGCGTGTTCCCGGCCAGTCCCGACGATCAGTGTGGGACGCTCGAGCTTGAGGAGGCGCCAGAGGCAGCTTTCAGGATTGACCACCACTGTTTGTCCGACTGGCTGCTGGTGGCCAGCTGTGTACGAATGCGGTCTTCCCAAGCCAAGTGAGCTCTTGTCTGGGCAGCAATAGCCTGGTTGACGGAATGCACAAAAGCTGCTTTCAGGTCGTCGCGGGCAGGGGTACGCCGCCATGGTGCTCTTTGCTGCAAGAGCATCGTCACACTCTGGTGTCCACCAGCGTGGGTTGGTTGCCCGGATGGCGAGCGTCTTGGAAGGGATGAACGCCGCCATACCTGCCAGAATCCGGTCTGTGATTCGTGCACATAGGGTGGTGGAGTCGCTGGTGGCCTGAGTCATATGCGACCAGCCTGTGCTGCGGTAGGATTCTTTGAAGCGCCCCCAGTCGGCTTGATGGTAACGCCAGACTTTGCGGGGTTTTGGGGGTTCATGGTGGCTTTCTATGGAAAAGTCGCAGACGATAACTCTATGGTCTGACCGCCCCAGAGGTGGGTGGACAGTAAGGGCTCGCGGCTCGGGAAGATCAGTCAAGATTACGTCCAGGGTGTTCTGGCCGCGGGTGGCTGGTCCACAATCTGGTCTAGATGGTGGAGCACGGCAAGGTCTTCTAGGGCCTCGCCAGCTTCTGTGGTTCGGATCCCTCCAAGCCAGGCTGAATTGTGGGCGTTGAAATCTCCCGCCAGCACGATGTGTGAGCCAAGAGGCCGCACTGTGTCAATAACAGTTTCAAGATCGTGAGAATAAAGAATTCAAAGTGCTCGATCATGAGGGTGTCAGCCCCATCGCAGGAACCAGGCCTGTAGACAGCTGCCAGGACTATCTTCAGGTTGGGGCTGTGGCATACTGTGATCCAAACCACTTCATGTCCGTCTGTCGGTATCTGATCCAGGTGGACTACAGGAGACCCTCCTGCATCCAAACTGCCACCCCGCCACCATGGTCATTCCGGTCAAGTCGGATAGGACTGGAGTATCCAGGAAATGTAATGTTGGCTGTGATTGTCTGGTCTGAAAACTTAGTCTCCGTGACAATGGCTATATCAATGTCTTGGGTCACGAGCGTGGTCTGCATCTCACCTAGCTTATTGCTGAGGCCAAACGCGTTTGTTACGAGGAGTCGCAGGTCGGAGGGTACAGTTTTACTAAACATGCTGCTTGGCCGGGTCTTCCTGGCGTGACATGCTGGGCAGCACGCTTGGCATCATGTGGCAGTAAGTCTGGAGACCATTCGGCAGAGGAACGCTTGTGACCAAGTAGGGGGGTTACAGGTGTGCCGGCAGCGGCAACGGACAGGCCACGACTCGCGCTCAGGAAGTTGTTGATAGTAACGCCAATCCCAGGTTGCTGTGGCTCTTGGTCCTTATGCTGCAGTGCTTCCAGGGGGTTGGTGTTACTGTCGCTGTTGCTGCTGCGGCGGCTACTGGTTCTGCTGTTGTTGTTGTTGTTGTTGTTGTTGTTGTTGTTGTTGTTGTTGTTGTTGTTGTTGTTGTTGTTGTTGTTGTTATTGTTGTTGTTGTTGTTGTTGTTGTTGTTGTTGTTGTTGCTGATGTTGTTGTTGTTGTTGCTGATGTTGTTGTTGTTGTTGACTTGTTGTTGTTGTTGTTGTTGCTGCTGCTGCTGCTGCTGCTGCTGCTGCTGCTGCTGCTGTTGTTGTTGTTGTTGTTGTTGTTGTTGTTGTTGTTGTTGTTGTTGTTGTTGTTGATGTTGATGCTGTTGTTGTTGTTGTTGTTGCTGCTGCTGCTTTTGTTGTTTCAAATCTTTATTGTCACGATAGCCAGTGGACTATAAGAGATAATAGAGTAAGAAAGGAGAAAGAGTGAGGAAGAATTGGGTGGGCAGGGCCTAGGGGTTAATGACTACTTAAGTGTACGGGCAGGGGTGGTCGCCACACGAGCATACAGAGTTGTGTACTTAAGTGTACGGGCAGGGGTGGTCGCTACACGAGCATACAGAGTTGTGCAACAGCAGGGATATCTCAGATTTGAAGGGAGTACGAGAAGGGATTTCGCGAAGCTGGGTGGGCAAGCAATTAAAGTAATGAAGGGCCTTGTACAGGGGAGAATGGAGACAGCGGTCCGTCCGCGGAGTTGGCAAGTGCCAAGTACGAGAGCGACGTAAATTAT